CTTCATAGTAGACAGCCTGATAGTGTTTTGTTAAATGCTCACACTGTACAAAACAAGTCATCTGTGACCAGTGGGTAATCACAATAAAGTGTAAGCCTTCACTGTAGCAGTCATTAATAACATCATATTAATTCGATAAGATGGTAGTTCTTCCACTGAGAGATTCGGTGTTACTGGGTGCAATAATGGAGCTTAAACTGTATTATTGCCGCAATGGTTCATTTAAAACCACTAAAGATTAAACAACGGTCATTATATCTGGGCATCTGTTAATTCTCTTAATTTTGTACTTTTGAAATTTTTTTTTCTGCTTCAAAAAATGAGACTAAAACCAAAATAAATTTATAACTATGACTATAATCTCTCTCTCTTTGATTGGATAAGTAGGATCTTGATCCTTCTTGGTGGGTCTGTCTGCAGTCATCCACTCATTTTTCCAAAGGAAAATCTTACCGAAGTATTTGGCAGAAGAGCCATCCTCATTAAAGACTGTGACAACACCAGGCCGGAGCACCTGCAGGGTGGGTACGTGGGCAGGAAGGATACCGAATGCACCGGTGAGCGTGGGGACATCCACCTGTTTCACACTGGCCTCTTTGAAATAAACCTGTAAAAAAACAAAAACACACAATAACAACACTTTTAAATTAAAAAATAAATAAATAAAATGAAACATTACACCACCACTTTAACAGAGAGCTTCAACCCACATTAACTGACAACAATTAAGTAAATATCCAGATGCAAAACTAAGAACTAGACTTTTGAAACGAACAGAGCATCACCAATAACCACAAGTCTTTTTAATCCATATTAACGCATCATGATATAACAAATTTGTCTTTGCGCTTGATTTTACCTGTTGGGTCAAAAACATTGTTTATTCACATTCACAATGTGAAGTGAACTGCACTGACAAGCTCGTCCCACCGACATGTACTTCAAGGTTACAGTTTAGTATTTAAAACACAAGGGCTCATTAATAGTGTCACTGAAACTCATTGCACTTCTAAAAAAATGTAAATGTGTTTAAAACAAATGGATCCGGAGTCTTAAGTAACCGTGAAGAGAGCAATGCTTTGTGAAGGACCACACACTGCTTGTCAAATACGGTGAATGACGGCTAGGCTAGGCTACACCGGCTTAACCTCCAAACACAAACGCTAGCGCTAATTTAAATGCAACCGTGCATGTACTGCTCGGGGACACAGCGAGGCAAAGGACCGGCACCAATCTGTTACACGGCCCCAAAGGTGCCATTTCATTTTTTCTTTTTAAATTTCATTCGGTGAGCCGATTAAGCTAGCTGGGCCGGAGAAGCCTAGCCGTTACCGTTAGCCTAGTACCTGTGTTGGTGAGGCGAACGTGAAGGACATCTGCGGGGCACCGGAGGCGGCCTCGGCGTAGCAGCGACTCTGCCTCAGCACAGGCAGAGCACGGCGGAGAAATCTTGCTGCCATCATCCTTGAAAATGTTATTTTTGTGAAGCACGAGTGAATGACAGGGATCCCCAAGCCCTTGCGTGAAGGCAGTCAGTGTGCGCTTGGTAGGACAAGGACGTCGGGAGGCTACCCGTCAGGCTTTGCTGCGACGTAGAGGATGCAGGGTAATGTAGTCATGGAAAAAAAACAACAAAAAAATCAATTGCGTTAACAATTAAAGGTCTCCCAGTTTATCCATCGTTTAAAAATACTTTGAATCACCTCCTTAGTTCCGTATGCTTTCAGTCTAGTTGGGTAAGGTACCCTGTCTTTTACTATGCAGTTAGTAAAAGACAGGGTATGCGGTTTGTTTTATTTGTAGTATATTTGTTTACTGTTGATTTAGCACAGTCAATATGGTGTGTATTTAGCATAACATGTATAGAACTGGGATAAACTGAGGTTGTTTTAAATGTGCTAAATGTGTATTTCAGCCTTTCAGCTGGTATTCTTGCTGGAGTTACTCGGGGAAACATTTCGAGATTGATTGGGGAAGACTGGTTAATGTGAGAAAAATAGTGTTTTCCGTATTTACTCATTAATAAATATATTTATCGTTAAATATATGCATCTATCAGTATTTATTGACAAATAAATGTAATCCCCATGGCGTCAGGAGATGGCGCCAAACCCCTGTAAAAAGCCTGCAAACCGGTGTGTCGCCAGTAAACGCCTGCCAGTGTCTCTGTGTGTTTTTAATGTCAAACATATTTACATATATTGATATACAGAATGTAGTCAGTATGATTTATGAAGGGTTATACATAAAATTAAATAAAAAAATGTGTCGTTTTGTAAGTATCTTAATGATCCTGCATTAGTTTCTACCTCTGTGTCCTTGATTATAATCTATCCAGTCCTTTTTGGCCACTATGATATCTTCATAGAACTATTATGTTATATTTTTTGAATTTGTGCTGCCCTCTTGACCAGGTAGTTCTAGAAAAAAACATATTTGCAGTGTCAGTGAGACTTTTATCTGGATATATGAAAGTCCCTTTGCCATAAACTGATTGCAACGTCTGCCTTGTAACAGGACAGTTCTTACTGACTCACAATGAAAAATATGACTGTCTCAGCCATATGTTTGACGATTAAAGGCCAACGAGTCATGTTCACATACCAGCAGTCACTATTTGGCAAATACTGTAAATCACCGAAACCCACCGGTAGCTTGGCGGAGGGATAAAGTGTAGTTGTAGTATTCCACTCGCAGGGTTCCAAAAACACAAGCACACACACACACGCGGGCGCGAGTAAATGAGATCATATGAGCCTACTTATGCTTCAATAATTTTTCTCACTCTAGAGGTTCAGTGAGTGCATTTGCCAAAAAAAAAAAAAGAATAAGTAAGCATACGAGACACGTTTCCTTGACTGTGTGACATGGTTTATATTAACCCAGAGCAGAGACACTAAGGCTTCCCTGACTCCTCTAACGCAGCTGTGGAGACTAAACTGTGCTTCGGGATATTTCTGACATCCGTCACTTGGGCTTTACCTCACTCCTTTAGTCACGTGATGCGCCTCTGACTGGGTGGTGGGCGTGTGTTAAGCGGTGGGGTTTCATTCATAAATACTTTTAGCCTTAAAGTCCACATTAAAGTGATCACGGAAGAGTTCCGCGTTATTGACTTCGCCCCTCCACTCCCGCATGGACCAGGATAGTTGGGTAGGTGAGTGCTTACCGTCGCCGCGTGCCTACTTTTGTGTGCGCTCGTGCACCCAATTCAAAATCGTGAGCTGCCTTTCTCCTCTCTG